TTGGGGTCCCGGCTGGGGTGCCTGGCCAGCCAGGACGAGGGGCTGATGGCTGTTTGCAGGCTGGCCACAGCCCCCAGCTACTCAAGCTCCCAGTGGAGGCTGGCTGGAAGCAGGTATCTGGGATTTATTTATCTTCTATAATTGAAACTTTGTTGCCTTGAGTGGAGGCCACAGCGGGCCAGGGCAGGTGGGAAGCTTGGCTCCCTCCATCACCTGGGGTAACCCAGCCTCCTGCTTGCTCCAGCTCCGTGGCTGCTGGCCGCCATCTTGGTTGGGTTAATTTACATATAGTCACTCTGATTGGCTGGTGGGCATGGCTTAAGGCATAGCAAAGGTACGGTCAATTTGCATGTTTATCTTTTATTAGTGTAGATTTCTATATTTTGCCAATTTTAGAAAATTAAGAATAGTCCATATGTATCTTTCATTACCTTTCACAGTTTTACCATTGTAAAGTTTATTATAAATCTCTTATGTAAGGCTGGTTCTGGTTAAACTAACTGGTAAACTGGGCTACTTTGTCTTGGACACATTTTATTAACCTCCTGGCATCTCCACCCCATGTACCCAGAGCCAAGTGCAACCCGTGAGCAGGTGAGGCCCTCCATGGCAAGGTCCACTGAATCCTGACTTCCTAAGCCAATGTTCAATGGTCTGGAAAACTGCCTACCCTGTGGGCCAGTAAACATACAAAAATATTCCACTTTATTTGTACTCAAATAAAGCAAAATAACCAAGGAATGATAACATCCAGTGTTATTGAAGGTGCAAAGAACTAAGCATTCTCATGCTCTCCTGGAGCTAATTTCTTGGAAAGCAATTGAGATATATGTATATTTTTTCATACTCTTTGATCCAACAATTCCAATTTAAGGAATCTGTCTAAGGCAGTGGTCAGCAAGTTCATTAGTCAACAGAGCCAAATATCAACAGTACAATGATTGAAATTTCTTCTGAGAGCCAAATTTTTTAAACTTAAACTATATAGGTAGGTACATTGTTATTAACTTAATTAGGGTACTCCTAAGGCTTAGGAAGAGCCACACTCAAGGGGCCAAAGAGCCACATGTGGCTCGTGAGCCGCAGTTTGCCGACCACAGCTCTAAGGAGATAATCCAAGGTAGGAAAAGAATTTAGTTATAAGAAGGTTTATGCTATACCTTGGAAACAAAAACCTATGTGTCCATAATAAGACATTTGTTAAAGTTCACTGTAATATAGCTACAGGCTGGAATATTTTGCAGTCATTAAAAATCGTCTTATAATAGAAAACTTTTAATAACCTGAGATAATTTATATAATGCATTTCTATGAGAAAAGGTAAGCTACAAGCCTATTTTGCAGTATACATCCATGTTTAACCTCAAAAGGAATGATGTAACATATGTATATATATGAACACATATATACATATATCATAATAATCTATATGTATAAAAGCCTATGTGACTAGCGAATTGACTGGTGGCTATGATGTGCATTGACCACCAGGGGCAGATGCTCAATGCAAGAGCAGAAACCTTAGGCATAGAAACATGGAACAGACTGATGAATCTCAGAGGAAGGTGGGGAGGGGGCAGGGTGGGAAGAGATTAACCAAATATCTTATATGCATACTAGAGGCCCGTGCACAGATTCATGCACTAGTGGGGTCCCTAGGCCTGGCCTGCGAGGGGTCCCAGATTGCAAGAGGGCACAGGCCAGGCCGAGGGACCCCACCAGTGCACAAATCCATGCACCAGGCCTCTAGTAATAACAATAATAATAGCTAAGATGTATTGAGACTTACTGTTTGCCAAGCACTGCTCTAAGTACTTTACATATAGTGTCTCACTTAATTCCCACAACAACTCCATTAGGTGAGGACAACTATTATTCCCATTTTGAAAATTAGAAAACCAGACATAGAAAAGTTAAATAATTTTCCCAAGGTCATACAGATAGTAAGTGGCCAGGATTTGAGTTCAGGAAATCTAATTTCAAACATATAAAAATACACATACAAATATGTACACATACATGCATGTATTTATTTATATAATATACTAGAGGTCCAGTGCACAAATTTGTGCATGGATGGGGTCCCTTGGCCTGGCCTTCAGGGATTGGACCAAAACAAGCAGTCCAATGCCACCTGCAGCTCCTGCCTGCCACTCCCGCTCATCCCAGCCCCGCTGCACCTGCTGCGGGCTCATGCCCAGTCAGTCCCAATCAGACCCCTGGTGGAGTCCCTTGGCCTGGCCTGTGCCCTCTTGCAATCTGGGACCCCTCACAGGCCAGGCCTAGGGACCCTACTAGTGCACGAATCCGTGCACAGGCCTCTAGTATGCATATAAGATCTTTGGTTAATCTCTTCCCGCCCTCTGCCCTCCCCACCTTCCTCTGAGATTCATCAGTCTGTTCCATGTGTCTATGCCTGGGGTTTCCCACCCACCCAGCCTCCCCGCCCCCTGCCAGAGCAGCACTCACCAGCCATGAGCCCTGCCTCTGGCACCCATCCCAAGGGGGTGGGGGAGTCTGGGATGTGATTGGCCCTCCAGACAGGTGGTGGGATGCTCGTGCTGGCCTGGGATCCACATCTGTCCAGCTGACATTCACGCCAGTTGTCAGGAGCCACCTGGCAGCCGCTTTTATATCATTTCTTCCTTGCGGAGCATCTAGGGAGGGGAGTGGCCACGGTGCCCGAGGCTGACTTCCAGGAGGCCAGGATCACTGTTGGGATCATGCCAGCAGTGCCAGTCTGTCAGTTCCTGGCCCATTCTCCAAAGATTGGACTTGCAAGACTACTGAGGGAGGGAGTGGCTGCTGCAGGGCTGGTGAGCCACCTGGACGGTTGATCAGCTGAGTGGCACTCCCACTGTGGGAGTGCACTGACCATCAGGGGGCAGCTCCTGCACTGAGCATCTTCCCCCTGGTGGTTAGTGCATGTCATAGAGACTGGTCGACTGGTCAGGTCATTCGGTTGTTCAGTCGCTTAAGCTTTTAGATAGATAGATAGATAGATAGATAGATAGCTAGATAGACAGACAGACAGACAGATAGACAGACAGACATAGCATATCTATATGCACACATAATTGCTATGCATGTCATAAACCTAAATATTAGGCATCTAGGTTAGCATTTTTCTTTGTGCTCTCTTCATACTCCATATTTCCTTATTAAACACTAGAGGGCAGGTGCACAAAATTCATGCATGGGGGAGGGGTCCCTCAGTCCGACCTGCACCCTCTCCAATCCGGGAGCCCTTACGACTTAGGCCCACTCCCCGCGGTTCTCTGTTCTCTACAGGGCCTGGCTGCTCCGCGCCCACTGCCCAGAGGCTCTCCCAGCTCAGAGACCCTCCACAGCCTGGGCGAGATACTTGCCTCATCGCTGTGGCAACGAAGCAAGCATTCAGTCAGGCCACTCATGCTGCCCACTTTCAGCAGCCATCCTCACAGGACTGGGAGACTCCGGCGGGGCTGAGGGAACTGGGCGCTGCCATCTTGGGGCTATGGGCGCCACCATATTTGTGACAGAGTGATGGTTAATTTGCATATTATCCTTTTATTAGATAGGATAATATAATTTTAGAAATTAAATTTTAAAACTTAAAAACTTAACTTTTCCATATCCTATTTTGATCTGTGCCAGGAAATACTTTAGTATGCAAGAAGGACTGATCTGATTCCCACTTGGACAGATCTTGTCTAGCTTTCCCTGGCCACACAAATGCCCCATATCTCTCCTTTTATCATCTAAATTTTGACCGTGTAAGAACATTTCAAGCCCCATCTCTTCTCTGAAGTCTTTTCAGATATTCTCTAATTCCCGTTTCACTTATAGACAGTACCATATAACACAGTGCTTATTTGTTCTCAAATTGTTTCCTGTGTATTAGCTTTGGCTCCTCAACTGGATGTTAAATTCCTTATATACTCATACCATGTCTCACCTTTCTGTTTTGATTCCGCTCCCCCGCCCCCCCCGCCCACACACATTGCTTCTAAGACTACCCGGATGCCAAGTGTTGAATAAATACTTGGTTACAGACTGACAGATGTGCTTCAAATAGTGTGACTGTAATATAATAGGAGCTTTCTGAAAATTGTGATTTATTCATTAAAAGAATGAACTGAATCTAGTGATGATAACTTTTATGCTGAGGAAAAGACAAAACTCATTTTAATAAATGGGTTAATTAGTACCCATCATGTCAATTCAATTAGTTTGAAACTGCATTTTCCACACAAAACTCCAGATGTTAGCCCAGTGTGGCTCACTTGGTTGAATGTCATCCCATTCACCAAAAGGTTGCCAGTTCAATTCCCTGCCCAGGTAGGGGGCATGCAGGAGGCAGCCCATCAATGTTTCTCTCTTATGGATGTTTCAGTCTCTCTCCCTCTCCCTTCCTCTCTCTAAAAAAAAATAAATAAAAACATATTTTAAAAATATGTATTTATTACAAATCATTTTTAAATAATGTGAACTTTTAAGAATTAACGTGAATTATAGAATAAGGATAAATTTACAAAGTTCCAAGTATTACTGTGAGGCCAAAACAACACCCATACCACAACTACAACTATGTGCCAGGCACCATTCTAAGCACTTTCTATATCATGTCTCATTTAATCCCCACAACAACCCTATGAGGTGGGTACTATTATTATCCCCAACTGAAGATTAGGAAACCAAGGCATAGAAAAGTTAAGCAATTTTCCCTAAGTCGCACAGCTAGTAAACTGTAAGATTTAAACCCAGGTGGTTTGAAGTCAACAAGAAAAAGAACTAGTAAAAAGAAACAGGCATTTCCCTTCATGAGTTTATGCTCAGTATTCAAGTCCCTGAAATCTTGAAATTAAGAAGTCTTCTAATCATTACCGTAAAATGGTGACCAAATATTTTAAAAATCAAATAAGATCCACACCAGAAAGAAGGCCTTATACCACCAGTGTGTGGTGTCTGCATCATTAAGGACTTTAGAAGATGTTATATTATAGCATGTGTCTTTTGTGTAAAATCTGATATAGGAAGGAAACGCTGACTGACTTGGACTCAAACTTTCATAAATGTTTTTTAAATGGGAGGTATGTTGGTTTCTACTCAACAGCATGTAAATCCTCTCACAGTTTACATTTGTCATTTAATAAATTTCTAACACAAGCTGTAAATTGTAAAAACTATATACTAAAGCAAAAGAATTATGTGTGACCCGGCCAGCATGACTCAGTGGTTAAGCATCAACCTATGAACCAAGAGGTCACGGTTCAATTCCCAGTCAAGGCACATGTCCAGGTTGCGGGCTCAATTCCCAGTGCGG